TGATTTTGTGTTTGTGTATGGTATGTGTCTGAGTGTGTGTGTGTGTGTCCGTTTGCATGTATGCAGGAATGCTTGTGTCAGTGTATGCGTGATTATTTGTAAGTGTGTGTGTGTATGAGGGAGCATGTGTCTGTAAGTGTGATTGAGTGTATCTGAGAGACAGTGTATGGGATTAGGTTTATAATGTGTGAGTGTGTGTTAGAGTGTGCAATGTGAGAGTGTGTGTGATTGTGCATGTGTGTGACTTTGTGTTTGTGCGTGGTAGTGTGTGTGGTTGTGTACGTGTGAATGTGTATGTATGTGTGTGAGTGTGTGTGTGTTTGTGAGAGTGTGTTAACGTGTGTCTGTGTGTGTGTCTCAGTGAGTGTGTCTGAGAGTGTATGTGAGTGTGTGAATGTGTGTGTGTGTGAATGTGCATCTGTGTGTGCCTGCCTGTGTAGGTGTGTGTGTACAGGAGAAAGTATGTGGGTGAGTGCGAGCACGTGTGAGTGTGTGTGAGATTGTGTGTGTGTGAGACTCTTTAAGCGTGTGTGAGTGTGAGTTTGTGTGTCTGAGTGAGTGGGTGTGAGTGTGGGTGCATGTACATGGGTGTATTTGTGCATGTATGTGCAGCTGTGTATGTGTGTGCATGTGTGTCCATGTGTGAGAGAGGGTGTGTGTTTGTGTTTCTGTGTTTGTGATCATTCGTGTGTCTGGTGTGACAGTGTGTGAGTGTCTGTCTATGTGTGTGCGGGTGCATGTGCGTGTGTGTGTGTGTGAGACCAAATGCATGTGCAAGTGCCTGTGTGTGTGTCTGTCGGTGTAAATGTGTAGTGAGAATTTGTGTGTATGGATGTCTGTACATGTGTGTGTCCATTTGTCTCTGAGTTTGTGTGTTTGTGTGTAAGTGTGTATGGGTGAGTGCATATGTGTGACTGTGTGTGTGTGTGAGAGTATGCGCGTGTTTCTGTGTGTGTATACACATTTGTGTATGTGAGTGTGAAAGTATGTGAGTGCATGTGATTCTGTGCATGTGTGTGTCTGTGTGTGTGATTTTGTGACTGTGTGTGATTTTGTGTCTGTGTGTCTGTATGTGATTTTGTGTACACGTGTGTGTATGTCATTTTGGGTGAGTGTGATTTTGTGTGTGTGAGTTTCTGTGTACGTGTGTGTGCAATCGTGTATGTACGAGTGAGTGTGTGCATCAGTGTGGGCGCCTTAGTTTATGAGTGTGTATTCGTGTGTCTGTGTGTATGCATATGTCTATATGTGCAAGTGAGTGTGTTTGTGAGTGAGTGTGCACGAGTGTGTGCATATGTGTGTGTCCATGTGTGTTACCGGCAGGCAAGCATGGAGAGAGCAGGACTGGGGAGGGCTGAATAGCCTCCTGCTGTTCCCCAGCTCTAGCAGGGAATCTGGGGAGTGGGGACCACACTGGCGATGTGCTGGGGGCTCTTAAAGAAACTGCACTATAGGCTGCATTGAGAGATTCTGACCTCCCTCAGTTACTGAACGTGATTGTAGAACCTTCTTCCTCTTCTGTGGTCTCTTCGTGACAAATGAATGTACTTACCGCTCGAGGTGGGGGCTGGTGTGGGGCTGGGGTCTTCTGCGATCTCATGGGTGCTTGCTCAGTCACGTGGTAGCTGTTTGCCCTCAGGGCACACACTTGAATGGAACACCCCTTCAGCCCATTGTATATTCCCCCTCCCCCCTCCATCACGACCAAACCCCGGGAATCTACGCACGGTATTCCCATCAATCCCAACAATGCCTGTTGGTCTGTTCCATTCAGGTGTCTAGCAGGATGTCCTCACTGAGCCATGTTTTGTAAGCGTCAAGATGCCAGCACTGGGCATATATTGGGACTCTTTCTCTGTCTCTCTGAGGGTGATGGAGATTGGGGAGTCACGCGCCCCCAAATTGGCCGAATGGGTTAAAATAGATCCACAAAACTAAGAACACACAAAAGGGCGCACTGGTGGCCAACATCCATTGCTCAAGGCACCTTGGACTGGGGAGGGGTCAACGATTCCCAGACACATCGAGCTGCGATGAATGGATTGAGGTTCTCAATGGATGGTGGTGGGGAGGGGGTGTCTCTTTTCTCTCCAGTTCAATCAGGAGGCATTTGGAGGGGGTGCTGCACTGGCTACAGAATAGATTTAGAACCATTTTTGCAAGGGTTAGCGTGAGGGTTAGTGTTAGGGGTCAGGTATTAGGGTCAGGGTTAAGGTTAGGAATAGGGTTAGGGTTAGTATTAGTGCTAGGGTTAGGTTCAGGGTTAAGGTTAGGGGTAGGGTTAGGATTAGGGTTAGGGTTAGTATTAGAGGTTAGGGCCAGGGTCAGGGTTAAGGTTAGGATTAGGGTTAGGGTTAAAGTTAGGGTTAAGATTAGGTTTAGGGTTAGGGTTAAGGTTAGTGTTAGGGGTTAGGTCAGGGTTAAGGTTAGGATTAAGGTTAGGGTTAGTCTTAGGAGTTAGGGGTTAGGGTCAGGGTCAGGGTTAGGGTTAGGGCTAGGGTTAGGGTTAAGGTTAGAGCGAGGTTTAGGGTTAGGATTGAGGTTAAAGTTAGGGCTAGGATTAGGGGTGTACTAGGGCTAGGGTTAAGGTTGGGGTCATGGTTAAGGTTAGGATTATGGTTACGGTCAGGGTCAGGCTTAAGTTTAGGGCTTGTGTTAATGTTAGAGTTAGGGCTAGGTTTCAGGTTAGGATTAGGATTAGGGTTAAGGTTAGGATGAGATTTAGGGTTAAGGCCAAACTTTGTGTTAAGTGAGCCAGTCACTCACACCAGTATTGCTTTGTCACACGTAGGCCCAGCTACTGGTCAGTGGAGACCAGATTCTGACTGTCTATCCGATGGATGTTGAAGGTGAAGGGGGAGCGGTGAAATCAGAGAGGTGTGTTAGCTCCAGATATCTGTCTTCCCCCCAACCTCTCTCGCTCTCTCGGCTTTTGCCACATCTCGAGCTGGGACTTTTGGAGGGAAGGGCGAAGAGTGAGAATACTGAGTGCAGGAGGAGTGAGGCGGGAGAAGTTGCTGATTGTGATTATAATTTGATACCCATTTCCCTAATCACCGTGGAAATGGAGTGGCTGTCTCAGGCCATTTCGGAGGGGCAGTTAAGAGCCAATCGCCATCTCTTTGGGGCCTGGGGTCACATGTAGGCCTAGACTGGGTAAGAACAGCAGATTTCCCATCCCCCGGAAGGGGCATTATTGTACCTAGATGTCGGGGGGGGTGGTTCATGAAAATGATTTCTGCAATTTCAACCCCACATCTTATGATTTGAGTTTATTTTCCACCATTTCTGCTGCCCTAGTCAAATTTGAACCAGTGTCTTGAGAGCATTAGACTGGCCCTCTGGATGGCTGGAGACTGGAGACTGGGTCTCGGGGTCACTCCCCCAGTGACATTGCCATTGCTCTCTCTATAGCCTTGGCATGTGCCATTCTTGATGACATCCCATCTCACCCTCACGCCACCTAGCCTGCACGACCCGGCTTGGCCCCTGGAGTGAGATACCAGAGGGCAGAGGGCACAGGAAGAAGCAATACTGACACCGGAAGCGTGGACAATAGGAGCAGGAGTAGGCCATTCAGCCCTTCAAGCCTGCTCTGCCATTCAGGAGGATCATGATTGATCGTCCAATTCGGTTTCCTGTCCCTGCTTTCTTCCTCATACCCTTTGGGCCTTAAGACATATGTCCAACTCCTTGACACATCCAATATTTCAGTGGCAGAGAATCCCACAGGCTCCCCACTCTCTGGGTGAAGACATTTTTCCTTATCTCAGTCCGAAATGGTCCTCCCCGTAACCCTTAGACCGTGGCCCCCTGGTTCTGGATTCCCCGGGTCATCGGGAACATCCCTCCTGCGTTGACCCTGTCTAAGAGTTTTAGAGGTAGTTAGTTCAAAAGGCTAATCTTCAGGGGAGACGAGAGGTCGGAAATTGTGGAGCTGCTAAACTGGATTCGTTCCAAACAAATTGGACACTTTTGAATGACGGTTGTTCATTGAATACAGCGCAATGAAGCTACGCCCACTCAACACAGTATCAATAGAACAGAATAGAATGGAAAATGACGAATACTGGAAACCTGGGAACTGCCAACGAAGAAGGCCTCAAATTTTTTCTAACAGACAGACCCCAAGCTGATGTGCCCAGTCCTGGCTGACGCTCGTTGTATCCGACACTGTTTCTGTGCTGAAATGATTTTTGCAAGGTGTTGGTGGCAGGTGGGGTTATGGACGCGTGTGCGTTTTGCCTTTTGAAAAGCACGTCAATTCCCGCTTGGTAACGTATCTCACAGCCGCGTCGGAGGGTTAACTTCCTTTCCCACCCTCTGAAAGCCTTGGCCGACGATACTCAGTGACGGCGTGTGCCCCCTTTTGCAGGATTAGACGGGGAGCGAACCCAGGTCGGGAGAACGAGACAAAAGCAAAAAAAAAGATATTGGGGCGGCAACTTTCAGAGGGTATATTGGGGTTGGGCGGGGGCGGCGGTAGTGGGTGGTATTGGAGTAAGGGTGGGGTGTCGCAAAATCCAGAAGAAATGGGCGCTGTCAAATCCCGTACCCACTTGCCCTTCGCCCAAATGGGCAGCCCTCACCAAGGTACTGATGCCCACTCGATCTTTACCATCAGCCAAGATCCCATTGGCACACCCTGACACGCCCTCCTGTAAAAGAAAGCAATTAATTTGCCAATTTTGTGTGTACTTTTTTACTAACCACGCTTTGAGAACTAACCTTTATCCTCATTCATGGAATGTGGTCATTTTTTTTCTCTGTACTAACTGTTAACCTTTTCTTCAAGCTTATGTAATATTACTAACCTTCTAAAAAAAATTCCATCATTCTTTTTTGAGTGTAAATCCTTTAGTGAGTTTACAGTCTTGTCGTTTTGTTTTCTTTCCCTTTTTCTGCTCTCCCCTTCCCTTCTTTCTACTGGAAAGCACTCTGGCATTGGACACGCAATGGTAAACAAACTGCATTATCTGGTAGATATCATTCTTATTGTCTTATTGTTTGGGTTGGTGTGTTTTCAGTTCCGTTTTCCTTTTCGATAACCCACATCGAAGCTTCTTAGAATGAAACCAAAAAAAAAAACAATTTCCGAAGCGACAGGGGTTGGTAAATCTTTCTTTTGGCTTCCTCGCCGCATTTTCCTTTCTTTCTCCCCTTCCACCATCCGTCCATTCTGGTCATCGCCAATATGTTTCCATTCCCTGCCCGCCATCTTGTTTTCAGTTCGCTTTCAGTTGGAGAGAAAGGGGGAAATGTCCTTTTCTTCTTCTCTCTCTCTCTCCCTTCTTTCTTTCTCGCGATCAATCCATCGCTTATTCCGTCCTCTCTCCCTCTCTCTGTCTAGACTCCAACTGAGATGGGCTTGGAGGTGGCGAGAGGAGGGGTGGGCGGGTGTTGGCACGGGGAGGAGCATGGTGGGACGAGAAGGGGTCGGGCGGTGGAGTGGACAGAGGAGGAGCTCGGGAGGACTGTGCCCGTCTACCCCCACTGCCTACACATTCCCCACTGCCCCTCTCTCTCGCCCTCCACTCCAGTGGATCCCCCCCACCACCACCGCTGCTGTCCATCCTGCATGGCATGCTGGGAATTTTAGCCAAACACCTTTGCACTGTCCGGGACACCATGTCTCTATCTCACCGCCATTAAGTTTTGTGTGTACATGACCCTCTTCCCCCCCCAACCCTTTCTCTTTCTCTCTGCCACTTGATGACACTGCGCATGCCATTTTTGTTCGCCTCAGAACGAGGAGCTTCCATTTTTGAAGGGGTCAGCGATCATGTCATTTGAAGCTTGAAAGAGCACCAAAGCTTTCTTCCCCACTTGTTGGGGACATTGTGAAGTGGCTCCCCAACTTTTAAATGGCACTTGGCAAGCTATGTGTTAGCTCAGGGGACCCTGTAGCACAAACAATCACTGGAATCCCTTAAGGCGAAAGGCTTTAGGGAAACCTCCTTTCCTCGAATGGACCCTGCTTCCACATTTGACAAGTCTGTCATACGATTGACAAGGGATTGATCAACTCTGTGGATTGGCTGATTGAACCCTTGCAAAGCTCGTTGCGAGTTACAAACTGGTCAGCCGATTAGAGCAGATTAACTGTCAGGCAGAGGCGCAACGTTGTATACACACGGCAACGCAGATGCCTGAAAGGCGAGCTCTCTTCGAGAGGACGTAGCTGATGAAACACACTCTGGTCTGACCAGACTTCCGATTCGCAAATAAGCTCCACCTGTTACATCTGTTGGAGAAAGTCTGTTTCAGTTAGATCAGCTAACATTCAGAAATGCGTTACCTCTCCTCGTGGACAAATGTGTGCATCTCGGTACACAATTGAGTTGAGAGGCACATTATTACACTCTACACTAAAAAACTGATATCCTTTTTCTTGATCACCCTTTCATGTAGAGAGACCTAGGAGCATTCTTGAATAATTTTGAGACGTTTAGTGATGGGGAGATGCAAGCAGAGGTGTTATGGACTAGACCAAACCTCCTTCAGATATATCAAGGAGGTAGCCTGGACCCTAACTTTTATCTTATTTAAAAGCAAGTGTAAGATGCTGTGTTCCAGATGGAATTCGATTGGTTACATTTCTCCGCTTTAAGCAAAACACACTTTATTCTTTAACGCTGCAATTAAAATGCAAACAAAAGGAAGAGGAATTGGTTTAACTTTAACTCGGTTGGAAAACTTAACAGAATAATAGATTATTTAACCACTGAACAGCAACGGCTCCAATATCATAAGATCTCACAGGCACACCCTTGGCAAAGGCAAATTCAGTAAAACAGATTGTCTCCAAAGGCCAAAGGCTTTAGGGAAGCCACATTTTCCCTTAAGGACCCAGGTTCCATGTTTGACACATCCATCA